CCTAAACCCAAAAGCCCTGAATCCAGAAAACTTGAAACCTGGAAACCCTTTGCCCCTAAACACTGTGACGGAAGTTGATAGGGTCTAGGGCGTGAGCTTCCGAGCTAGTTTCCGGCCCCACCCCGGGGAAGTGGTACCATGGCTGCCCCAACCTCGTGAAGCTGTCGCTGCAGCTGCTCCGCACGCTTGGGGCAAGAGAGCTCCTGGCCTGCAATGTCCGTTGGGCCACCCTTCCAGCGGTCGCACTTCCCCCCCCCCACTCCCGGAATCTTAGCCGCCGAACAATACCATTTCCCCGCGCCTCCCCTGTAGAATCTGGCTGTGGGCTCCTGGCCAATGTGTTCTGGTAGCTTTGGCTTGTCTACGCTTGAAGGGCCCTACTTTTGGAATCTCACACCCTATTCTGCACCCTATCAACTTCCATCCCAGGGTCTAGGGGCGTAGGGTTTCTCATAGGGTTTCTGGGTTAGGTTTCGGCTTTCTGTGTAAAAGGCGTTTTTGATTTTAGGGTTTCTATATACAGGTCTAAGATTTCTAGGTTTAGGGTTTCTTGGTTCAGGGTTTTGGGGCTCAGGGTCTCTAGGTTCCGGGTTTCTGGGTTTGGGTTTCGGGATTTGGGGTTTCAAAGTTCGGGGTTTCTGGGTTTAGGGTTTTTGATTTTAGGGTTTTGGGATGCAGGGTTTCTGGGTGTTTACGGGTTTAGGGCTAGGGCTTTGGAGTTTCTAGGTTCAAGGTTTCCTTTGTTCTAGGTTTCTGGGTTCACGGTTTCTGGGTTGAGGGTTTCTGACTTACCGGGTTTTGGGTTTTTGGGTTTGGGGTGTTGGAGCTCGTACAACATGGAACAACCAAAGAATGATAGAGCATCCGAACGTTGCAAACCCTCTAACAGCTAACATACACTAGTGTCGAAGGGGGGCCTTCCCAATACAGATGGGAGCCTACATAATCCCAGCCATCTCCGGCGGCCGCAGATAGATGAGAGCAAGTGGATTCATTCTGAGAGCGGGAGATGATCAGAGCAGTCCGGCCAGCAATATCAACCCAGGGTCTGATATCACTTGGGGTCTGGAATGGGGTTGCGTTCTACCCATAACCGCGCTTTCACACTTCGGTTTAGGGTCTGATGGGGCTGGCTGCACACCCTGCCAGTGTGACCAAAGCATGCAACTGGAGGGAAGAGGAGGGCTCTCCGGGCACATGCTTTGTTGACCCTCTTCGAACCATGCAGCAGCCGGGGAACGCGAAAGCAGGAAGAAATTCACCGTGACGTGTCGAACGTCGTTCCCCCCCCCCCCCATGGTCGTTTATTGCTGGAACACGGCCCCCAACAGTTTTATTCACCAAAACTAGGGCTTAGGGGGGGATACCACCCCCAGCGGTGAATTAGGCCAAGGGGGGGTGATTGAATGTTGTAGCAGGGTACTGATCTACAGCTGTGCGCCCGCAGCAAAAAGAGACACCTGTGTTAGCCTGTGTTCCTGTACGCTTTGCCAGGGGATACATGCCCAGGTTACAATCTCAACGTGGTAGCGGAGCTCCCGCAAAACGGAAGCTTTACACAGGTGGAGGTACCGTAGGATTCGAGCAGAGTACTGATCTACAGCCGTGCGCCTGTAGCAAAGCTGGCGGGCCGCCAGGGGTCGCAGAGAGGGCCGGGATTTTACGCAAGCCCTACGCAAGCCACAAACCCTATAACATAGGGCGTGTTCCTGTTTGATTAACCTTCACCTACACCCAACCCTAAACCCCGCCTAAATGCAAGCTCTAAGCTTGAAGCAGAACATAAACCGTCGCCCTTACCAACCTACACCCCAAACCCTCCCTAAGCTCTTGTCGGTTCGAAGCCTTATAACTTCAGACCTTATATCCCTAAACCCGAAACTCAAAAGCTAAACCCTAAACCCCCAAACCCCACCACCACACCACAGGGGGAAGAGGGACCCCACACCCCACCCACAGGGGGGACCGGGCCAGGTGGTCATAAACAACTGATACACAAATTTGGAGAAAAATGCATGTGCCAAGCAGGCTGATGCAGATCTGTTGTTTGCCGTTCTGCTGTAGCATCACATACATGAACAGCAGGGCATCATCGCGATGCAGCTCGTCCGCGGCTTGACAGCGCGCTTCATGTTGGTCGAGGCGACTAGCGCCGGCGCAGCGGCATATATGGTCAGGCGCTGCCCTCCGCATGGGAAGATGTCAACTCCAACTTTTGAGCTGTATGTGGCGATTCAACATCCAGCTCCCTGTCGGAGTGCTTTGGCTTTTGTCGATCAAGGAGTCCATGCCGTGGTTTCAGGTGCCTCTTCCCTGTTGAGCATCTAATAAGGTTCCCACGCAAATCTCCAAGAATGAAGCTTTGCCCGCGGACAAAGCAGTGCTGCAATGAAATCGGCCTTCGCAATGCCTTTTTCTGGACGAGCACTCTCACACACCTGACGGTGATGGAGTCGAGGTCACAAGCATATTCCCCCAACTTGCTCGCGACGCTCTTGAATTGGCAGCTTGGTTAGATGCTGCCACAAAGAGTTGCAATGTGCACCATAATTGGCTCTAAAGTCTAAAGTACAAGGCCGTGCGCGATGCCTCACAGAGTCCAGGAACTTCATGTCACCTGAGGACGCTCGTGTGCCAGCTGTAGGCTCATCTTGGTGACTTGACATGACTCTATATGGATTCTGCAGATCTCCGGGGGCCTTGGGCTCGGTGTACACAGTGCACAAACTGAATGACGCAGGATGCAATTTCAGTGACTTTTTCTGAGAAGCACGAGGTTTCTTGCCAGACTCTGCCTTCTTTCTGTACTATCGGCTGAACCTGGCTCTTGTCTTGACATGCACACTTGGCTACCGACGGCTGCGGTACAAAGCACTGCGGCTCAGAGATCCTAGTCGACCTCCTCCATCTTGGAGGCCTCGTCGGCCGCGCCCTCGACTTCCTCAAGCGGGGGCAGGTCATCGTCGTCGCCCAGGCCCTCATCGTCATCGTCGATGCTCAGGCCGAGCTTGATCATGCGGTGGATGCGGCCAGCGAACTGGGTGGGCTCGTCGAGGTTGAAGCCTGAGGTCAGCAGGGACGTGTCGAAGAGAAGCCAGATCAGGTCCTTCACCGTCTTGTCCGACTTGTCAGCAGCGGCCTTCTTCTTCAGCTCCGCCATGATGGAGTGCTTTGGGTTCACTTCCATGGTCTTCTTGGAGACCATGTAGGAAGTCATGGAGTTGTCGCGCAGGGCCTGGGCCTTCATGATGCGCTCCATGTTGGCAGACCAGCCGTACTCGGAAGTGGTCAGCACGCAAGGAGAGTCCGCCATCCTAGAGCTAACAATGACCTTCTCCACCTTATCTCCAAGGACTTCCTTCATCAACTTGGTGAGAGGCTCAAACTCGGCCTTCATCTCCTCCAGCTTCTTCCTCGGACATCAGCGAACTACTGGTAAGAAACGAAGCAGCAGGTTGCTTGCCCGACACCATCACAAAAGCAGAAGCTCAGTGCTTCCAAGGCTCTTCTCGTCCTCGTCCTCAATGTCCAAACCCTCCTTCGTGGTGGATTTCAACTTCTTGCCATCGAACTCCTTCAGCTGCTGCACGGAGTACTCGTCGATGGGGTCGATCATGTACAGCACCTCTCGGTCCACGAGCGCAAGGCCGGCCATTGAAGAAAGCCTAGGCCTAGGCCTAGGCCTAAGTCTGTGCCTGTGCGCAAAAACTTCCGGGGGGGTGCAGGGGCAGTGCAGGGGCGCACCTCAATGCCCTTCTTCCGCAGGGTCTCCAAGAACGGAGAGGAAGACACGGCCGCGATGCTCTCGCCTGATCAGGTTGGAGCAGCTCAAGAAGACGTCGAACCATCACGGTGCAGTTCGGGTTCTTAGTATAAGGCATAAGGAATCTGTCAGTCGTTAGGTTTGCCCTCGATGAACAAGTATGATGACATCTCTCGTCTCAAGGGGCACCTGTGATGTAGAAGATGTCGTTCTGTCCCTCCTTCATGCGGTCGACGTACTCCTTCCTGAGAGGTGGTACGTCCGCTCACATGCTAACAACCATGCTTCTAGGTTCTATCTTTGTTCAACCCGCTTCCCCAAGCCTCACGCAGCTCCTTAAACACGCTCGCAGTCGGGTTCCGCGGCATTTCATGACATTAGTTTTGGAAACATCACTGAACCACGCACTCCAAACTCGAGACCCAGGGTCAGGCTGATCTGCTCGTCTCCGGACTTGGAGGTGTGGTAGCGGAGGAGCTCGGCCACCTGGCAAAGACGAAACGAGAAATAAAGGTGTGGCACGTTTTCACATTTCCACTGGTCACACGATTTCAATATCAATATTGGAAAGTGTCCGCAAGCCCGAAAACGACAGAATTCAGTTCAACCTAGTGGTTGAGAAGGTGGCCCGCCTTGGTGCGGTTTGTGGAGTCCTCATGGACGCCCAGCTTCAGGCACTTGCCGAACTGCTCGTAGAACTTCTTGTAGTCGTCCTTCTTCTCGGCGATCTCTGCGAACATCTCGAGGCACTTCTTCACAAGATTCTTCTTGATGACTCGCAGGATCTTGTTCTGCTGCAGGGTCTCACGAGAGATGTTCAGAGGAAGGTCCTCCGAGTCCACCACGCCCTTCACGAAGTTCAGCCACTCCGGCATCAGCTCCTCGCAGTCGTCCATGATGAAGACACGACGCACGTAGAGCTTGATGTTGTTGCGCTTCTTCTTGGTCTCGAAGAGATCGAAGGGTGCCCGGCGGGGAACGAAGAGCAGCGCACGGAACTCCAACTGACCCTCGACGCTGAAGTGCTTCACTGCCAGGTGGTCCTGCCAACAGCTTGCACAAGTTGTTCGGCAACAGACATTTCCGAGCCTTGACCTTTGCCTGCAAATTAGGACTGAGCGGTGCCAGAGGTCAAGCCCTCGGACCGTGCCGTCCTCCCAGTCGTTGGACAGCGACTTGTAGAAGGAGGCATACTCCTCGTTGGTGACGTCTTCGGACTTGCGCATCCAGAGAGGCTTGTTCTTGTTCAGCTGCCTCACATGCAGAGCAGCTTCGCATCGACGGTTCTTGGATAGTCTGATTGCAGCCCCGGCCGGTCACAACCCGAGACACTTCTGACCATGGCTAGAAGCACTGCTGTTCCAAATCCTAAAAACTTAAAACAGCCTGTTGAAGTCTGAAGCAACCTCAAAGCCTTTGCCCAACATTGCGAGCAAACCTGCCCGCCGCCAAGCCGCTCCCACTCGTGCGAAACCTCCTTCACCTTCCTTGGCTAATGGCGGGTGCTCCACGAACTGTACACACGGGCATGAGGGTTATCCAATGAAGCAGTTCTTGTGCTTTTGCGGTGCCTATTCAGCTGACTGCTATTATGGACGTTAGGAAGCATTTCGGAGCCGTTTCGACTCATCCGACGAGTGTCTTCGTCTTCTTTTTCTTCTCCTCTTTCTCCTTCTCCTTTTTCGAAGCGAACCGATAATTTAAACTGCTATCCCGTCTCCTGCTGACGCACTCGCACTACAGCGCCCCCAACCTGTCAAACCCTGAACCGCCCTAACCCGCCCGGATGTCTCCTCATCCACTTCCTCGATCTTTGGCTCGTCACCTGGCACAGCAAATCGAACTTCACATCACGCCGACCGAAGCAGCGATCACGGCCTGAGATGAAAACTCTCCTAAATCCGACACTTGAACTAATTACGATGGTAAACTCGTCACCCCGTCCGCACCCTCTTTCTCCTCCTTCTTCTCCTCCTCTTCCTCCTCGGAGTCCTGGGTGCCCAAGGCTGCAATACAGGTGAAGGGTCTCGGTTGGTTCGTGGTTTGGTGATGTTTGGTGTGTTGGGGCTGGGGGCTTGTTACCTCAGGCGGTGCCTGTGCCGCGAAGTGGCCGTCACCTCCTTCTCCTTGGACTTCTCCACGTACAACTCGATGGGGAAGCCGATGAACTCCGAGTGCTTCTTCACCAGGTCTTTCAAGCGTCGCTCCTGAGCAAGCCGTGCTCAAGGGATCCTAGTCGGGAGGGTAGCTTCCGGATTAGGTCTGGCGATCAGGAGTGGGATGGAGCGACATCTCGCTTACGCGCAAGAAGAAGAAACTTTTGGAGGCGTAGCGGCAGGCGGCGAAATGCAACCGATCTCAGCCATCGTATCGAAACGTCTCAGACGCGATCGATGCGAGGCGGTGCGAA